TAGATCAGCCCAGAGGTTATTTCAGGGTTTGATCTGTGAGTTAGCCATGCCCTGACTTACATCAGACCAGAGGTTGCTTCAGGGTTTGATCTGTGAGTTAACTGTGCCCTGACGTAAATCAGGTCAGAGGTTGTTTCATGGTTCAATCTCTGAGATAGTTATGCCCTGACTTTGATCAGCCCAGAGGTTATTTCAGGGGTTGATCTGTGAGTTAGCCATGCCCTGACTTTGATCAGATCAGAGGTTGTTTCAGGGTTCGACCTGTGATGTAGCCGTGCCCTGACTTTGATCAGCTCAGAGGTTGTTTTATGGTTCAATCTGTGAGTTAGCCATGCCCTGACTTTGATCAGCCCAGAGGTTATTTCAGAATTTGATCTGTGAATTAGCCGTGCCCTGACTTAGATCAGTCCAGAGGTTGGTTCAGGGTTTGATCTGTGAGTTAGCCGTGTCCTGACTTACATCAGCCCAGAGGCTGCTGCAGGGTTTGATCAATGAGTTACTGTAGCCATGCCAGTACTTAAAAACTTTGAAAGAAAAGGATATTTAATATTACCTCTCTATTACAAAGCACTCTAGGCTTTACTTCTGCCACTACTAGACCAATGATTTCTTTACAGTGAGTAGCTGCTAGAGAGAAGAACCTAGGGCTTGATGTTATGTCCTTGTACCACGAGTCTGGATATCTGGAATGATAGCAATAATACAGATACTTACTCTGATATCCTGGGATTAGCTGATGAAGTGGAATAAAGTTTGTTGCCTGGACTTTGGAAAGAAGGGTTATATTTGCCATTTTTATCCAATTTGTTTGAATTTACATTAAATAAGTGGGAGGGGACTCTCGTTTGCATCTTTGAACCTCCTCTGCCAACAGGCCTGCAGCAACAAATGCTGCTATTTCCTTGCATATTTYTTTATTGTGCATAGTTTATTTAGCAAGTTTGACAATGCTTAACATTTTTTTCTTTCTAACTACTGTAACTTTCGGGTATATTGTCCATCTTCAGGGCAATGAAATAGATTATCAAGAAAGCTTCAGTTTATGGAAGCAAAAAGAGATTGTACTGCTCTGCCCTCCAGCGTGGCTGCTAGGACAACTAAACCGGTACAACAACATCTGGTCTTCTGTCATTGTTATATCGTTAAATATGACAAAAACTCTTTAATTTATGCGATTTGTACTCGACTATTAACAGTGTAAACGGGTTTTCAACTTTGGATGCCCTATGTGTCTTTCTATAGAAAATCTAGTCCGTGTGCTCTTCAGTATATTGAGATAATCAATTATTCTGCAATACTTTAGTTATTCTGTATGACATAAATGACAGATAAACAACACTAGAAGAGGAACTCTTTTCAAAGCTTGTCTGCTGTTAAACACATATTTTCGGCATGTGATTATTAACTTAACTTATATTCAACATTAGAAATGGTATACTAACGAAAATAAAGCAGTGCTGATTAATAAACGCTAGTAGAAGGATAAAATACTCACTCGATAGGGAACCATTCTCGACAAAGTCGTTTAACTTCCTCAACATCATCTGGGCAAAGGAACCGTAACTGAACATCGTTTAAGAGCCCCAGGTTGGCTGACATTCAAGCCCGAGATAATCGGATCCTTCTACATAAATGATAATGATAAAGTATACAAGAAAAACGAATTTAGAAACTATAAACTGACAATATACAGCAACATCAGCAACATCTCATCCGCCATTTTTGGAGTTTACTCACGAGAGTTTGAGAGGATGGCCGAACCTCTTACGACGGATCCACGAATAGAAATGCAAGAAAACGTACGTCAATCGGAAGGCTCGAGAAACTAATGAACTTAAACGAAGTGACGAAGTGGATTTGTGCATGACGAAGATGTGACGATACTTTACCGGATAGTCTCGATGTCTTTACGAATAACGTAATACAGAATTTTATCATGTAAGAGGATGTACGCAGTACGTGGAAAAAAAAATGTGTGTATTTTCTGATGGTTTTCACTAAGATTGTCAGGATTTTTCAATATTTGTATGCTCGTGCTTCATTGACAAGTCATCCTTATTACAATATCAACAGGTTTGTTCAATCAATCTTTTGATCAAGATCATGCGTCAAGTCAAAGCATAGTTTAATAGTTAACTATGGTCAAAGTTTGCAAATTTATACGAAGTTAGCATACTTTAAAATAAACATGGAGTCACTAAAAGAAATATATAACTGCATTGATGATTTATAGTAGGAATTTACTTCCTAATGCAATGACGTAGAAAATGTAAGTTCATATTTTTTGTGTTTTTCAGGCAATTCATTAGCAGTATGTCACAGTCAAGTGTGACGTTGTTTGTCGTTGGTGACGTCATGTTGGGCCGTGGTATTGACATGATATTACCACATCACAATGATCCAGTACTGTATGAAAGCAATGGTCTTGACGCATATGATTATGTGTACTTGGCAGAGAAACAAAATGGTCCTATCCCGCCGGCATCTGAGAGGGGCGTGTCTTACATATGGGGTGATGCTATCCAGATACTAGAGGACAAGAAACCTGATATCAGGATCATTAATCTGGAGACATCAGTAACAACATGTAGTTCACCTTGGCCAATGAAAGGAATAAACTACCGTATGCATCCTGGCAACATTGATGTCATCAAGGCTGCAAAGATTGACTGTTGCATCTTGGCAAACAACCATGTTGCAGATTGGGGCTTTGAAGGGCTAAACTCTACTCTAACAACATTGAAGGATGGAGGTATAAAGTRTGCTGGTGCAGGACGAGACCAAGAGGAGGTGGAATCTCCTGCGATCTTCGAGGTGCCTGGCAAGGGAAGGGTGATTGTGTTTGCTGCAGGACATCACTCCAGTGGGGTACCTGATTCCTGGCATGCTTCCAGCACCCATGGAGGAGTTAACATCATTGAAATATACAAGCCAAAAAAGGCTGTATCTGAATTACATCAGTTGGTTAAAAAATACAAACAACAGAATGATATTGTGGTTCTCTCTATTCACTGGGGCGGCAACTGGGGATTCGATATTGACCCAGCATTTAAGAAATTTGCATATGCAGCGATAGACAATGCCGACATTGATTTGATTTATGGTCACTCATCTCATCATGTCAAGGGGCTCGAGGTATACCATAATAAGCTAATCATATATGGCTGCGGAGATTTCTTGGATGACTATGAGGGAATAACAGGGTACGAGCATTTCAGAGATGATCTTGCATTAATGTATTTTGTGGAAATCAACCCTGCAACTGGTAAACTTGGTGGTCTCAAAATGGTTCCAACCCAGACCAAACACCTGAGAGTAAATAATGCACCTGAAGAAGGTATTGAATGGTTGCATGAGACAATGAAAAGAGAATGCAAGAAACTGGGAAGTCTTGTTGAAAGAAATGGAAATGAACTACACTTGGTGCTATGAAGCTGTAAAATGTGTGCTTAACTACAGATCATAATATAAACTGTGCTGGATYGATATCTAATTAGCCAGCGTTCAACCTTATGCCTTAAAAGGTAATACCTGTATTTACAACTTTTCCATATTGCAAGTTTTTTTTTTATTTGGCATCTTTTAGCACTCTACAAGCTACAAGTTTTTTTCAAGTATGCTTGATAATTTAGAACAGGTCTAAAAGTAAGAGGCTATTTATAAGCTAAAAATGTTAAATTATAAATAGCTATTTAGCAATTAGTCCTCGAGCCCAAATGGTCTGGGTCAGTTGCTGATATTGAAATTAATTGATATCGAGCTTTGCATTATTAAATTAGCATTACGAAAGTGTATCAAAGCTGTTAACAGCAACTGAATAAAGAGCTATATTTTAAGAGTCTGCTATTTCCATAATAAAAAGTCAAAAAAACTTTTAGTTTCTCGTATTTTTGTTTTGGGGTACCTGTGGTATTTTGAGCGGGTAAGGGTCTGGATCTATATGGTCTCCAGCTTTCTCGCGTTCGTAAACAAAATGGCGGTTTTTATGAAAAAATGACAACATTGAAGCTTTGTCCAAAACACTCCTTAAGAATGCATCTAAAACCCACCATGGAGATTTGTCCAGCCATTTCTTACCCAAATAAGCGACACGAGTAACTAAGTGAGCCAGAATAGGTGTATAAATAGACGTATAAGATGGCGAAATCTAGTAATATTGACTCGAACTTGAGTTTAGTTGAACTCGTTCAACAAAAAGAAAAAGAGTGGCGAGAAGCTCAAGATTTAAGAGTAAAGTCTTTAGAAGTATCACTAAAAGAACAGGAAAAATTACTGAATAATGAGAGACTTCGCTTTAAGAAGCTTAGAGAAGACTTTGAGTATAATCTTCAGTTGTTATCTGAACGGGACCAGGAGCTGGAAAGATATGACCAGATATTTGCTAAATACAAGAATATTGAGAGTGAACGAGACGGGGAAATTAGTGAATTGAAGATCAAGATGGATGATTTGAGGTCAAAGCTTCTTCAAGAGGAAAATGCACGAGAAGAACTACAGAAGTATTATCAAAAAGTAAGTGAATTTATTCATCATCAGCACCTTGATCATCCTTCATTATCATGATCCAACACCACCATATTTACCACCTACATCATCACCATTGCTATCATGACTACTGTAACAACACAATAATCCATCAGCATCACCTTCATCCATTATTGTCCCTCACCGCCATTATCAACGTGAACACCATCATCTTCATTATTTAATCATCGTCATCATTACCACTACTGCCACAACCATCATCATATCATTGCTGCTGTACTATCATCCATCAATTATCTTCAACATAACCATCATTACCAATACTACCATAAACAACAACATCACCATCATCCAACATGATCACCATCCATCAAAATGCTTATTACTAGAATAATGATATTATCCAATATTTTTGTAACCTTTACTTAAAATCATCATTCATCATTATTATTGATTTTGATTAATTTTTATTATAATTCTTCCATTTTTTGTTCAGCGTCTGCGAGAACACCAACAAGAGATGCAACAATTTGTTATTGCTAAAGAATCTGAGGTGAAAAAAGAAAGAGACAACCTTGAAAGGTTCAAGAGAGAGTTACAACATCAAATAAGGTGATCTGGATGGAAATCCAATAAAATGCTTTTGTAAATGGAATCCTTATAACTGTGGGGGAAG